CGGCCTGTAGTGAGGCTCTGGCGGGAGATGAGGCCGATCTCCCGTGCTTAGTCTGGCGGGACCTTCGACGCACTTACAGAGGGCCCCGTTCTCCCCCCGTGGGTCGGGGGGTTATCCCGGACCCCACCGGGGAGGCAGTGACCACCCACGATGCTTGAGCGGCGAACCGAGCACCCAGAGACCGCATGGTGAAAACCAAGATGGCCGCCGCGTCCATCACAAGCTGGAGAATAAAGACGGCAGCCATGGAGCAACCGCTAACGAACTGACAGACGCCTACCAGACGCCTCTAAGGAACGCACAACCAGCATGCAAACACAACTCATGCCAGCATTATTGAAGGCAACACCTCTCCTGGTAACCGGCAGGGACTCACTTGGGACTATAACCCTGAATGAGCACAGAGGCGCAACAGACAAGAGACACAAGCTCCATTATTATACCTGAGGCTATTTTTTATAACTGAGTATACTATTTCATACTGTCATGCCTAGAATTAGTACAATTGCACCTATCCGGCAGACCCACATGTACACCAACAAAAATTATTAAGCATACCTGCCTGTTTAACCGGCTAACTCAGAGACTCGCTGCTCCCTGGTGGTCAAAAATTTAAATCTAAGCAATGAAGAAATCTAAATCATATACCATGTCTATATATACTACGAAGCTACCTGTTAATCAAAATACTATATAAAAAATGTGCACGTTACTCAATAACCTCAAATGTTATGTTTGAAAAGTTGCTAGATGACTGCCGTTGGGGTACCTCGAGCCAGAGTGTAACTGTCTTTATGCACTGCAAAAAAAAAAAATGTAAAAAAGAAAGAAAATGTTCGCCTCCTGTCTTTAATAAAATGTAGATTATTTGGTCACTGATGCTAGAATAATCCCTAATTTTATGGCAAGACAGGAGGCTTCATATTTGGTGTTTTAACACCCTGAGAGTAAATGATAACCCGGATGAGATTGAGGCCGGAAATAGAAGGTACCAGGGCTCGAGTCATGCAGGAACGTGTGGGAATGGCATTCCTGTACTTTTTTCATAGCAGGAACACCGTTCCCTTTGCTCCTGCAGGACCAGGGCAGCTGCCTCTTGAGCCCAGCCGGTGCTCCTCCTGAGCCGATCCTTCACTATGCAAGCGAGCGGCATCGCATAGTGAAGGAGTCAGGACTCTGGAGCGGATGACTTACTTCCGGGTTGCTCCTCCTCCGACCTCCCCTGCCCTTTGCGTACACGGCTACGCGGGAGTGTCATGACATCACGCGGAGGTGGAGTCACTGCGTTGTGTCAGCAACGCTAGGGTGATACCGTGATGGTGAGAAGGAGGGAGAAAAAAGGTCTCACAGTCTCCCACACTCCCCCTGCCTGGCCAGGCCAGCCAGCCAGCCAGCACCCTTGAGGCCAGCCAGGCAGCACCCCTGAGGCCAGCCAGCCAGCACCCCTGAGGCCAGCCAGCCAGCACCCCTGGAGGCCAGCCAGCCAGCACCCCTGGAGGCCAGCCAGCCAGCACCCCTGAAGCCAGCCAGCACCCCTGAGGCCAGCCAGCCAGCCAGCACCCCGAGGCCAGCCAGCCAGCCAGCACCCCTGAGTCTTCAGAACTGTAAGTAAATATAAGGGGGGTAAGGGTGGATGGATAAATATATAAGAGGGGAGGGAAATAATCCTAATATCACCCCTTAAGGACGGCGGGCGTTCTATGCCGTCCTTAGGGAACCGGCTCTAAACGCCGGAGGGCGGCATAGAACGCCCAAATCGTCCTTTCTACTTACCTGGTCACCGGCGGTCCCACGCTGGCAATCGCGGGATGGGGACTTACCTGGGAGCCCAGGGAGTCCCCCTCCGTCCTCTTTGGGCCCCTCTGGGCTATGTGATCGTGAGGTCCTTGCGAGGCCATCACGATCACATGGACGGCATTGCCAGCAGGGGGAGTGCCTGTAATGACAGGTACTCCCCCTGCTGTCTCTAAAAAAAAAATTAAAACAGTTTAAAACAGTTGAAAATTAAATTATATATACTTAGATCATATATATATTTATTATATATATGATCTTATATATATATATATATACACACACACCTATACACACATACAAATAAATACACATACACTAAGTACATGTACAATGATATTGATTAAATATATATATATAATTTTCATTATAAATATATTTATATATAATATAAAATAAATATGTAAATACGTTAAAAAATTAAAAAATAAATTAAATATATTTGTGTAAATTCGTTCTAACTGTATTTTAAAATTAATATATATATTGATATCAAAATACACGTAGAATGAAATAATATATATATCTATATACATAGTATATATGTATATATCACTATATATATACCTATATATCAATAAAAATAATTTTTTATTTTTTTTTAATTCTTTATTTATGCATTGACAGACATTTAGTGTGACATCAATGTCGGCCTACACAGAAGCCTAATCACCGATTTCGCTTTGATTATGTTACAGAAAGGAAGGTTAGGTTATTAGCGTACATAATATATATTGTTGGTACATTTCATGTGGGTTGCGCAGAAGCCACCATTGCGCAGTTTTCGTTTCGCCTGTCAAAGTTTTTCTTTTATTTTATGTATAGAACATGAACAGGAAAATATACAATAAAAATAATTTTAAAAAACTATATACATATAGTTTATAAAAACTATATATATATATATATATATATATATATATATATATATATACACACACGTCTTGAGAAAAGTCCCTGGAGGACTGAAACGTTGACACCATTTACTGGAAATTTGATGCTTTGAATAAACAGCACGATTTGAAATAATTCCGAGTCCTGTGAGTGCACTTCAAACAAGGATTTATATATTGTGATTGTGAAAGGGGCTTCAGTACAATGAATTTGGTGATGTCACCCATTAGGAGTGGGCTTGGCATTGAACGCCTGTCTTCTCTTTTGTTTATTAGTCTCATTGGGCATCCTGTGCATTTATAGGGTCCTTTACCACACATCACAAAATGGCTGACCACACATCACAGCGCAGATGATACTAAATCTCGAAAAGTTGATAATCTTGCACGGCAAGAGCAACATTATTCCAGTTTGTGGGATATTTTCTAATGGGTTGTGTGTTTTGTTTTTATACCCTATTTGTTTTAGAAATTCCCTGCAAGGGAAAGATCATCACCCATTGTGGTGATTGTTCTGTTAGTATGACAAACAAGTTAACAAGTTAACTCCCTCACAAACAACACCATTCACTTTATCACAGTTGCTACAACTGCTCTATATTCATTTGCTTATTGCATAGCTAATTTAATTTGTTCCAACTGTTCTATATATATTTGTCTATTGCATGTGAATTTTGCAGTTGTTTGTGTACACTGGCACTTTACAATAAATGTTGCACTCAATTTTCTGCTAAATATATATATATATTTTTAAGGGGGGGTGGAGGTGGCAGTGGATCTTCCCACACTTTTTTTCCCAGGACTTGACCCTTGAAAGGTAGGGAAGGTAGATTCCCTCAACCAATCTGCGGAGGCTAAAATGTCTGAAAGGGAGCTCCCCGCGATAAAGGCAGAGGATGCAGCTGCCCTCCGCACCAAATGGGCACCAAAGGAGGCCTCAACACCTGAAAGGTGGAGGATCCACCGGATCCACGAGCAATTGTGGGACAGGACACCAGATTATGAAGATGAACATAGGACACAAAAAGAGGTCCCAATGGAGCCCGAAGGGGAGTGGTAAAGGAGACATACCGTTGCAAACAACGGGCAACACAAAGAGATGGCCTGTCAGGGAAGTATGGATAAAAAACGGATGATGCCTGTAGACACAGCTCCTGCTCTCACTGGCAAATAAAGCAACAAAATCACCAAACTACAGCGAGTACTCAACTCACAAGGAACACTGAGCTACTGGTGACACCCGGGCAAATCAACGGGTACTAAACATGCCACAATTGAAGCGAGAATCGCCCGAGTACGGAATGCGGCCTACAAGCATGGCCGGCGCGGAGGAGGCGGCCGCTCCTCCGATGCCATTCTCGACTGGACACTCGATATTGGGCCCTCGTCCCCCCCCCTTTGGACCGGCGGGGGTCATCCCGGTCCCCATCAATAAGCAGCAGGTTCTCGCTCACACCCTCACAGTCTGCAAAGACCCAGGCCCAACACAAAGTGGGCCTAGCACGCACGCCGCAACACAAATGGCGCCTACAGATACAGGCCATGGCAACGACATGATCAAGCACTCCCTCTGATGCATAGACAAGGCATTCCAGCGCTTCTGGCAGCAACTGGAGCAGCGTATGGCACTGCAAGCACCGAGGCCTACGCGGGAGGTGAGAGAAGCTGAGATGAAAGGGCCGAGCGAGCCCCGCTTGGGCAGACTCCAGCCTGGAGCACACACCACCCAGGCTCCCTGCCTACCTGGGCCGAAGGCCAAAAGGGGTAAACCCCCAAAGCATGGCCCACGACGCCGGAGAACCGCCCGCCGCTGGCGGCGTCGCAATATCATGGTCCTCCGCAGCACCCATAAAGGGGAAGACCCGGCTGCACTGCATACCCGAGTCTGTGGAATACAGATGCAGACCTTCCATGAGGCCTGGGGCTGGAGCGGGAGCCGTCGCGGCCCACGAAACACCTACATGATCATCACGCAGGACCACAGAGTGGATTCCCTCATACAGCCCACCAGTGGCATAGGGTGAGAGATCGCAGCCCAGCTACCAGCTTTGACACAGAACAGGACTTTGGACGCTCCCTCACTACTATAATAGACTATAAGCCTAGAGTCATGAATGCCTCTTCATTTTAACTACCTAGGCCCAGAGCCGGATTAAGAGCACGGTGGGCCTGGTGCTGACAATTATGATGGGCCTAATTACGGAATCTTATCGACCAAAAACACTAAAACAATCATACCTCCCAAGCGTCATGTATCTGAAGGAGATGGTGCTGAAGGGAAACTCATAGGATGCAGCTATAAGAAAACACATACTCTATGCTAATCTCTCTCTAATTTATGCTTTCATCTCTGAAGTAAATCCATAACCCCTAACAGCAGTGTCCAGTGAAGCAGGAAGTCAATGGGCGGGGTAAAAGGGTGTGCCACTGGCGCGAATCACGTGACAAGACCTGCCAAAAGGGGTGAACATGCCCAAAAGGGGGCATGTTTGTCCAAAGAATTGGAAGGTCAGCCTGGCATGAATGCATGTCAGGCTGCCTGCCAATCCTGCAGGCTGTCCAACTAAGGGCATACTATGCAGGCAGCACCTTGAGCTTGACATAAATGCATCTAATGATGCGCTCACTCCATTCTTTCTAAGGACTGTCCCCTAGCACTCACTGGTCCACTTGTCTCCTTACCTTCTTACTAGCAGGCAAAAGTTCCTGGTATATAGTCTGAGACAGAGAAAAGGTGTCTGTAGTGAGTGTAGAAGAAAGGGGACATGCCACAGTGTTAGAGAGACCAATGTCTGCATTACCTAAACTAACTTTAATGTCAGCCAGTGCACACAAGTTTTGTTCCCATACATCCCTCTTAAGCTTCCAAACTTAAAGGGACACTATAGTCACCAGAACAACTACATCTTATTGTATTTATTCTGGTAAGTAGAATCATTCCATTCAGGCTTTTTGCAGTAAACACTGTCTTTTCAGAGAAAATAACTCCACTGGCCGCTCCTTAGATGGCTGCTAGAGGTGCTTCCTGGGGCAGTACTGCCTAGTGTGCAGCACTGCCATTCAGTGTCTCCACCCTTTGCATGCAGACACTGAACTTTCCTCATTGAGATGCATTGATTCAATTTATCTTTATGAGGAGATGCTGATTGGCCAGGGCTATGTTGGACTTGTGCTGGCTCTGCCCCTGATCTGCCTACTTGACAGTCTCAGCCAATCCTATGGGGAAGTATTGTAATTTGCTCAGACCACCACTTCTGAGCCAGCAGCTGCAGAATTGAATACAAGTAATATTTTACTATATTTAGGGAGGCAAGAAGGGGTCTGGGTGGTGGTTTTAACATAATAGGGTCAGAAATACATGATTGTGTTCCTGACCCTATGGTGCTCCTTTAAGCAAGAGTATGTGAAGAGTAGTTAAGGTTGCCACCGTTCTTTGAAAAAAATACCAGCCTTAATCATTTGTATAATTATTTAGTTATGCGTGACATCACATGATGTAAATCACAAGGAGTGACATCAGAGAAAATTCTGTAAAATCACCAACAAGCTACTCACAGTTTGATTCTGCTGTATAGATGGATTGCTCCCAGTGTCTCCCTGTCTCCCAGTGTCTCAGCAAGTCACTCATTGTCTGTGTCCCTATGTATCACAGTGTCAGTGTCCCCATGTCGCCCAGTCCCCTAGTCTCCCAGTGTCTGTGTCCCCATTTCTCCCAGTGTCCCAATGTCTCAGTGTGTCCCCATGTCATTAGGATACTGGGGACACTGAGAGACATGGGGACACTGGGAGACATGGGGACACTGAGACATTTAGGGAAACTGGGAGAAATGGGGACACTGAGACACTAGGGACACAGACACTGGGACACTGAAACATTTGGGGACACTAAGACACAAGGGACACAGACATGGGAACACAGACACTGGGAGACTAGGGGAGACTGGCTGGGGGACAGACACTTGGGGACACTGGGAGACATGGGGACAGTTGTGGACATAGACATGTGGACACTGGGACATATAGGGACACTGGGAGACATGGGGACACCAGGCACACAGACACTGGGAGACATGGAGACACTGAAACATTTGGAGACACTAAGACACTAGGACACAGACACTGGGAGACTAGGGGATACTGGGAGACTAGGGGACACTGGCTGGGAGACAGACACTTGGGGAGACATGGGGACAGTTGTGGACATAGACATGGGGACACTGGGACACAAGGCACACTGAGACATGGGACACATACACTGGGAGACTTGGGGACACTGAGACACTAGGGACACTGGCTGGGGACATGGTGTCTCCGTGTCCCAATGTCTCCCAATGTCCCTATGTCTCACAGCGTCCCCATGTGTCTCAGCATCCCCCAGTGTCCCCTAGTGTCTCAGTGTCCCCATGTTTTCCAGTGTCCCCAGTGTCTCTTCCAGTGTCTGTGTCCCCATGTGTCCCCTAGTGTCTGTGTCCCCATGTGTCCCCTAGTGTCTGTGTCCCCTAGTGTCTGTGTCCCCATATGTCCCCAAGTGTCTGTGTCCCCATGTTTTCCAGTGTCCCAAAGTGTCTCAGTGTGTTCCTACTGTCTCAGTGTCCCCTAGAGTATGTGTCATCATGTGTCCCCTAGTGTCTGTGTCCCAGTGTCCCCATGTGTCCCTGCTGCCTTTACCCCCATCCATCACTTACCTGAGCTGTAGAGCTGCTGTCTGGACTCTCTGTGCTGTGTAGCTGCTCCCCCGTGGATGAGTGAGTAGTAGAGAGAGGCAGGGATATTCTGTAACTTCCTATCTCTGCCTCTCTCCACACACAGTGACCCCTACTGGCCGGTGCTGGTATTGCAGAGTAATTTCCATTTATTCTGAGAAAATTACCTGCATTTGTATTGCCAGTATTACTGAGGCCAGGCAGCCTCAAATACCTCAAATAAATTTTTTTTTTTTTTTTTAAATGGGCCTATTCCATGGGCCTGGGCCTGGAGCTGCAGCTCCATCAGCCCCTATGTTAATCCGGCCCTGCCTAGGCCTGGTCATTTACTTAGTTTTATTGGCTGCCAAGCACGTCGACAACTCCATAAGCTTGCCCTAGCATTGTTGCAGGTTCCTATGAGGATCTCTTTTTGTTTTTACCATGCAAGCAATGTGACCTAATGCTGCCTAAACCAACAGCCAGTCTAACCCGTTAGCTATGCCTATCTTATACCCAGAGTGCACAGTATGTCTATGCCTTACTACATAGTATCTTGCAAAACACTTCTGACATCCCTATCAATCTTGTTTTACAATTTTGAATATACGCCGAATCTATGGAAAATGGCTCTGTTGGCAATAGCCCTACAAATGTCTGATATGTGATGTATTGCTAGCTTGTACTATTTCCTAGGGCAACACAAACCTGCTTATAGATCGCAGACACTGTAGATAAATACCTAACATGCTCTACACATAATGCACTAAGTTTGTCTCTTCTCAAACTTGCTTTAGGATAGGAGCAGTCAGAGTAATCTTTCACTATAGCACGCTACAGCTGAGTTTAGCCCATGTGAATATGTTTAACGCTATGAATCTGTGGCAGAATCCTGTTACTTTAATCAGAGCACTTAACCTGTTGTGCCGTAAGCTATCAATGCCATGTTGACATGTACTGAGCGAGAGCCTGAGCTGCTTAACACATAGCATGACTAACCTGTTATATTGTACACATGAAACCTACCATTTGAGCAATTACTAACTGACCGTTGCACCCATTTCTTAAACAATTGCTTGAAATACTATGTTTACTTGACGTATCAAAAACAAAAAATATATGGCAGTCCTTAGTAGGAGTGTACTATGTACCATCTTGTTTTCATCAACTTGTATTATCCCATACTGCCTCCTCTCTTTATTCTGTACCCCATAACGCAAATGCCATAATAAAAGAAAGATTAAAAAAAAATAAACGGACGAAAAGTGGACCATCGAACAATAGAGAAGCATACTCCTTCAGGAGTAAATGCAATAGCATGAAGGTCAAAAGCTTTGACGTCGGAGACCCGACGAAAGGAGACCAAACAAAGCAAAAGCAGTTGCTGTTATGACAGTTCTGAGTTAGGAGACCAAGCTTCCAGGAAGGACAAGACCTGTGCAACATCCCCAAAATTGGGTTAGAGGTCAGCAGAGGCGAATACCCCGTAGGAGCCTGCAAACGGATGGGTGTTGTCCATCAGGAACCGCATCAATCGGACAATCAGCCACAGAAATAGCAGAACGAAAAACGTTTATCGTACGGTAAGACTTTCCACTGTCAAAAAGAGCTGATAGGAAATTCATGATATTCGCCAGAGTCGTTGAAAAGGGATCAATATCCCATTCCAAACACCAGCGAACCCAGAACTTCCATGCCGAAAGGTAAGATCTGCGGGTTCCTGGGGCCCATGAATCCATGAGGAGACTTCGAGCAGAGTACGAAAGTCCCGAGGCACACCAGGATCCCCTTAAACAGTCCAGGCTACCAGCTGAAGGCATCCCTGGACGGTGAGAGGGTGGAAAGCTCTGGAGGGATCTCAGAGGAGATCTGGAGCCAGAGGCAGAAGCAGAGGGTAATCTGTGGACATTTATAAGAGATTATGATACCAAGGTTGGGCTCTCCAGAGAGGATCTATAACAGGGCAGTGACTCCCAGATCCCTGAGGCGATGAGAGTGCGAGGAATCATCGAAAATGATGGAAACGCATAAGCTCCCGTCAATGGCCAATGGTTGCAGGAAGGCATCAACGGCTTGAGACATCGGGTCCGGTAGCCAACTGAAGTAGGCATCTGTCTGACGGTTTAGTCTGGAGGCAAACAGATCCAATGTGATGGGCCCACGCAAACAGATCCAATGTGATGGAAGACACCCGGGTCTAGGTGCCAATCGCTGGCATCCCTCCATCAACGGGAGAACCAGTCTGCCACCACGAGGTTGTCCAGCCCAAGCAGATATTCTGCTCAAAGAGAGAGATTCCTCCCTGGTAGAGTTCCTTCGTAAGGTCCAACAGGAGCTTCGATCGGGAGCCTCCAAGACGATTGACATAACGTTGTCCATTCTGAGAATCAAAGAGCAGTTCTAAGCGTCCTTGGCAAAACTGCAAATCGCAAAGGCGCCCGCCATCAATTGATGTGCATCGAGGCAATTGATGTGCATCGAGCATTCTGACTGGGTCAAGAAACCGGTGCAAGTGGCTCGCACCCTAGGAGGCTGGCATTGGACTCTAGGACAAAATCGGGTTGACACCCGAATATAACTTTCCCATTTCAGGCTTCCATGTTTTGGAGCCACCAATCTAATTTCAGAGACCTAGTCTGTAAGGAAAACAGGTTGGTTGTAAGACCGGGATCTGTGAAGATACCACGTTGTGAGGTGTTGCATCGCCCGCCCTGTAATATAAGGGACTGGGGAAAATAGGCTGAATGGATGCGGGCAGGAGTCCTAATATTCGTGCTAAATCGAGAAGGAGAACTTGATGGGAGGACAATAGTCTCCGAATGTCCCTTTTGATGGCTTTTATTGACGTCAGAAGTTGAAGAATCGACAGAGCAGAGTTTATCTGAAAACCCAGGAAGTGGATGGACTGGCATGGTACTAGTGCGGATTTTCCGAAATTGATTACAAAACTGAGGTTTTGTAGGAGACATTTGGTCATATCCGTATGTTTCCGAAGAGTATGGGGGTCCTGAGCCATGATTAGTATGTTGTCTAAGTAGACGATAGACCTGATACCTTGGGACCGGGGAAGGGCCATAACTGGTTTCATTAGCTTGGTGAAGCACCAAGGGGCA